CAAAGGCAATGAGATTTAAACATAGACACAGACAGAACTCCTGATTCTTCTTAAGCACGAAGCAGTAGAAACATGGAACACCTGAGACCTTTGGGCTGTCCTTTAAGCACCAGAACAGACCAGCCACAGGTGACATCTCAGAGGTCACCTGGGTACTTACAGAGGGCACTGTGGCAGCAATAGGGATCATCACCACCGACACCGTGCGGAAAAAGTTCGTAAGAAGCTTCTGGATCCGTGAAACTGGCATTTTTGTCTGGGAAGCAAAGATCTGAAAGGGGATAAACTCACAGTTACAAACAAGCTCTTTTTGAAATGGCCACCGAGGATTAACACCCAGAAATCTCATTAGAGCAGCATTCTAAAAGAAACTGTAGTCAAGACTAAGTATTACTGAAGCTCAAGTAGATCTGAGACGTGTCCCATCTGACCTGGAGGACCCTGAACTAAGACACCTACACATTAAAATACACGGAGCAAACAGAATGTGTTTCATTTCTGCCCAGTGCATTTAAAGCAATTATATAATCTGCAGGCACCTTTATATGCTAGCCCTTTGCAGTCACTGCTGTTGGTTTATTCCACCAACGTACCTCCACCACCAGCAAATTCACCAGCCCCAGGGAAACTGGCAAAATCCATGTGGAATCGGGTGCCGTGAGGTCTGTGAACCACAGTGCTCCTCCTGAGGAAAACTGCTCTTGTACTACAGGAAAAATTGAAGAAAATACAGAATTCAGTACAATTTGCTGTCTCAAGTGAGCCAGAACTGTACTCGTGTTAAATCACAAACCCAAGTTTCTAGCTACGTTTTACCACGTGGTAAGTACAAGATAAAGAAATCATTGGTTTAGCACTCTGCTACCAATATAAGTAAGAAAAGTGAGAGACAGAAGATGAGACCCAGCTTAGATCATAACAGCCGTGGACAGGTCAATCTGTGCCAAAAAATACTTAGATCTAAAATATTTTACAAGTCAATGAAGAAAATAAGAATGCAGTAACCTACAGGGTTTATTTCCTGATTTTGAGAACATTGTATTTTGTCTTAGTAGCTGTATAACTAGCTAAATCTTTGCTTAAAAGAACAAACTATAAACTCTTGTCTAAAAAAAAAACCAGTATATAGTTTTTTTTCATTTATAAGACCCTCACATATTCACCTTATCTACAGTATTTCACATAGAAGGCAAAAAATATACAGATTAATAGTGAGCGTGCTGCGGCATGTGTAATATGACTTACTAAACAGGATTGTCAGACTACATTAAGATTAAAACTAATTTCAAATATTTATTACTTATTATTTATATTAATTAATTAATGAAATTTAAACTATATTAGGTTTAAAACCTAGTAGCTGACTGCTTTTATATCAGCTTGTACATTAAGCTCAGGACACTGCGTTCTTTAACCAAGAAGGTGCTTGTGAAGGCAGGAAGTGGATAAGAAGTGACAGTGAGAGATTTGTGTCCAGGTGCAGCACCTATTTGTCACACAACACCCTTTTTCTGACCCCAAAAACTCTCTACAAATCCATTTCCCCCACCTGCAGAGCCCCGGGCACCGATGCTGCAGTTGCGCAGAGCCAGGGACACGCACACCCACATGGGGACCTGCACCCACAGCAGCAGGGTGGCTTTGAAGGGGTGGCAGTTGTCCCGGATGTACAGCTCCGTAACAATCCTCCGCATGTTCCTGGCGAAGTGCAACCTTCCGGGGAGAAAAGCACAAGCTCAGAGCTTTGAAATGAAACAGAATAAATAAATAAAGCACAGGCGGGGAAAGAAAATCTAAGCTGTGGGCAACGGCAGAATCTCGCTGCAAAAGTGTGGTTTGTGGGATCTTCCTTCCTGCCAAGCCCCACTCCGGAATGGATTCAGGAGGTGTGGACAATGCCCCTCGTACCTGGCCACCTTTTCGGACCAGCCCAGCTGCTTTCCACGCGCTGAAACTTCATAGCGAAGGCGCTGGGCAAGCTCCTTAATCTCAGGCTGCAGGTTTTCCAGCTAGCTAAAGAAAAGGAGAACTGTTTGGGCACAGTGGCAGGTAACACTCGCTTCCTCTTCTCACCTCTGTTATTACTCAACACTCGAACGAGTATTAGACTTACCACTGTAAAATTTAATATCTGTACAGGAATTAAATGTACACATTGCCACCATATAATTTAATACATCTATGGGTATTACAGATATTAATTACTCTTCTATGACTTAATACCAGCACAGGCACCAAACATATTAATTACCACTGTAATTTAACAGCTGTAGGGGTAGTAAACGCCTGTGAGGGACAAGGCATCTTTGTAATGTCTCGTTCAACAGCAGTGAACAACTTTCATCTTTAAACAAAATAACCACGTGAAGGTAACAGTGACAAATAATTACAGTAACAATCAAAGATACTCTCTTACTACTGCAAAAAATGAAAATAGAATTTAGAAAGAAAATTATTTCTTTCACAGCTCAAATCAGGGCAATTCTTAACAAGCATATTTTTGCCAGCATTCAGGACTTGTAATGAGCTACTCCACTTAAAAGACCCAGCTTTAATAGCACATCAATGATAAAAAAAAGTATAAAAACTAATAATAAAATACAAATATAAATACATAGTAATAGAAAATGCATATATGCTTAAGAAAAATCTTAAATTAAAAAAACAAAATCACTACAATATAATATACTGTATTACTTACAATATACTGTACATAATATGTACGTAATAGATAAATATATTGTGTTATACATGATAGAATGCATAAACTATATATACATATAAAAATAAAATGAAGGCCATGAGGACACAACTTGGCAGCGTACAAAGTCACCACTCACAGCACAAGAGACCCCATTACGCGAGAGCGCAATAGACGCTCACTTCTACAACCAAAAAAAGCCCAAAACGTAAGGAAACTGCTTTAAAAAACCCCGAACGCCCCCAACCCCGCTGCAATGAAGGATCTGTGGTGTTCATTCCGCGGCCCCCTCAGGGCCTCTCCCGCCCCTCAGCGCTCCCACCTTAGCCAACAGCCGGCCCTGCTGCGCGGCCAGCGGGAGGGTCACGGCGGTGCGCAGCACGGCGGCCCCGCCGGCGATGGCGGCCCACCAGGGCAGCCCGGTGGCCTCCTGCAGCGCCGCCAGCCCGCTCTCGGCCCAGTGCACGGGCGCGGACCGCGCCGCCCACTCGTACCAGCCCTCGGTGCCGCCGTGCCCGCCCGGCCCCGCTCCCGCCGCCGCCGCCGCCAGGGCCGGCGGGGCCCGCGCGCCCGCCCGCGCGAGCCGCCACATGCCGACGGACCGGCTCCCCCCGCCGGGGCGCATGCGCGGCCCGCGCGCCGCCTCAGCGCACCGCCCCGCGCCCGCCATGGCGGCTGAGGGCGAGGGAAGCGCCGTCCTGCGCTGGATCGGATCCTGGCTGCTACCGGGAACAGTCCCAGCGCCCTCCTGCCACATCACGGAGCGCGCTGGCTTGGCGAGGAGCCACGAGAATCGCGGAGTCCAACGCTAGGCCCTGCACCGGGCATCCCCAGGGATCGCACCTTAGGCCTGGGGGAATTGTCCAATCCGGCTTTGGGCCAGCGTCTCATCCCTTTTCCAATAAATACTTCTTCCCAGTAGCTAGCCTAAATTTTCCCTTTTTCCATTTGTACCTATTACTTGTTATATCACTACAGTCCCTGACAAAGAGTCCCTCAGGCACTGGAGGCTGCCATGAGGAGTCCACATAACCTTCCCTGCTCCAGGCTGAATGCCCCAACTCTCTCAGCCTGCAGATTATATTCAGAGTAATTAATCCTTACCAAGCACTTCATCATTCCACATTGGCGGCGTTCTCCTGCCCAGCCAGGTTCTGAACTGTCTCCTTATCCCTTCTGTGGCAAGGAGAGGTCAAAATACCCCTTACCATACACTGCACTGTGTTCTCTTCCTCTCCATGTTTGCCCTAACGCTGGTTCTGCTCCTTTATCTCAAATAAACAGCACCTGCCTGCTCCCAAAAGAGTATAGTCCTTGGTTTATTGGACAAATAAAAAGCACTACATTGTGGGGGAAAAAGAAAAAAAAAAGTATCAGGGAATAAAAATGGTCCAATTCCCCCCACCCAGGATCTCCCGTGCCCAAACCACTGCCACAGTGGTGGCATCAGGCCTGTTACTGCCCCAGCCACAGATTTAAGTGCCAGGTCAACAAAATACTCTGACTTCATGGTGCCAATAAATACTGAGCACTATTTCCCAGTAGGATTAATAATCAGTAACCCTCAACAGCACTACAGCCTGCACAAAATTATTGTAGCAGAGGGGAAGGGCACTCACCCACACCCTGGTAAGGTGTGAGATGGAGTTTCAAACCTTTTTCTGAGCAGTTCCTTGCTTTGGGATCCATTTTGCTACCACCAGATCTTCACAGGATGCATTTCAGGAGATCAGACTGCTGGAAAAAGGAACTTGCTTTTATTCAGTGCAGCACCTGAGGGCAGGTATATGGCCTTGGGCATGCAAAAGGTTTGAGGACACCTCAAATATCACAATAGTTAAAAGGCAGTAGTTTCTGTGGCCAGCTGAGATGTTTCCTTGGTTTTTAAAGGAGGAACCATAATAAAACCAAATAATACTTCCCAAATCTGAGTTGTAGATCTCCTTTAAATGGTCTGTAAGGGAACGTTACAGGGATCCTGACTGGATCTGTGTCACCACTCACCCAGCCCGGCCTCACAGGACACACCCTCCTTCACTGCCTACTACAGCTGCCCACAGGTGACAGCTCCTGACAATGCATACAGGAATTCCCACTTCGACTCTTCCAAATAAACCTTCATGGGCCTGATTCTGGAAGAGACCTGCCTCTGGAGCCTTCAGCAGGGAAGCTCACCTCAAATGTCAAATAAGAAGTGTATGTATTTTCAAAAAATTCCAACACATTTGGAAAACACCCTCTGATAACACCTGGGGTGTTTTTCTTTTTATAACTTACTTAAATTACACAAGTAGAAAAGTTATGCTTATTAATAGTTTAATGTATGAAGGAAACATCCAGATTTCTGAATATGAAGGTACATATCTCACATTAATTTAAGTCTACATAAAGTAGAGCCTCTATAACTGACATATTGAAATTTACTTTCTGCTTAGCCATTTGTTATGTAAACAATTGTACATTTATTTGCCATTCTAAAACTTCAGGATCAAGTTTACATAATTTTGCTAAATTTCTGTGTTTGCTCAGAAGCAGTTTACAGTACTAAAACCAACCAGCCAAAGAACAGCTTCAACAGAAAGTTATGTCAAAAAAAAAAAAAAAAAAAGAGGAGGAAAGGAAAGAAGAAAGTCTAACTAAGTTGAAACATATGATGGTGGGGAATGGGCGGTCACAATGTTCACAGAAAAAGGTCAGTTAGTAAGTTCTTCTGCAAAAAGCCTACACACTTCAGTCAAGCACATCAGTAGAATGATCTGGGAGCACATAAACTGTTTCTGCCAATTGTGGTTTCCTCTGCAAAAAAAGGAATCTCAAGGCCAGCACGTTGATCCCACTCAGCCCAGTTGGTTCATATGCACACTGTTCATGTGAGGTGTCCAAGTTCCAGTCCACACCTGCAAGAGAAACCTGTGTAAACACCGTGCTTTGGGCAGCTCCAAGCAGGGCACAGCCCACAGGAGGCTGCAGGGCTCACGGTTTTTCCCCTACAGGACAAGTAATAGGGCTCTGGGTGTGCAGCACATGATTTCCCAGCCCAGCTCCCAAATCCCTCCATGCCCAGAGCAAGGGACATGCTCCCTTCTTGACCTTAACTTCAGACAAACAAGAACTTGATTTCTGCCACCTTATTTTCCTTTAACACCTTCAGCTCTGGGGAATCCCAGATCTAACCAAGTAAAGCTTTCTTTGGGGGACAAAGTTTCCTCATGAAACCAGAAATCACCTTGCAGGGACGAGAAGCCACTTCAGAGCAGTACCTGAACTGTGGCCAAACCCCCTCTCCCCTCACACCTATGGTCTACCAGAGTTGGGAGTGCTCCCCAGAGTTTGGATCATTCCCCAGCAAATTAAGCCCAGAAGCATCTTTATTTAGTAACAGTGTAACAGGCATCACTGTCCAATTAAACATAATCACAGGATATAATCTAACCAGAGCTACCATTATAGTATTAGTTCCTGAGTATGAACAAGAGGTTTAGGGGAATTAATCCCTCTGCCTAAATTATATTTAGTGGACAAGCCAGGCAAGATCAAAACAGCAAAGAGCTACTTACTCCCTTCCTTGGTGTGCTCCTAACACAGTCACAACATCCTCAACTACAGAGCCCAGCAGCAGTCCGGTTGCTGTGTTCCCTTCTTGGGAAGGGAAAGCTTAACTAACAGCACATAAATTGCTTTTCCTATGAAATTTTGCCCCAAGATTTCTTTTCCCAAATGCCTAACTGCACCAAAAGGAATCACCATACATTTTGAGTAAAATACACAGTGCAAATAGAGCAATTACCGTCTGAGGCCCATTGTTTTCTGTGGAATTTGAAACCATCTTTATCAGCGAGTTCCAAGATGGGTCAGCAGCATGAGGCCCATTAAAGATGGGGCCTCCAGTACCATCTGTGATGGGGGCTACAGGAGGAATTATGGCGTTCCCATACACAGAAAAAGGCATTCCCTGAGGGGAAGGAAAAGGACAGTCAGGGTGCTTTCACGAATGCCACTACTAGTGCATGGACAGAAGAACAAAAAGAGGATTCACGCTGCGTATGGGGGCCAAAGAGGTCATTACCCCAACTTTTGGGAAGTCCATGTATCCTGCAGGGACGGGCTGATGGAATGTACCGGAAGGCGTTACAATTCCCGTGCTGTCTCTCTCCATGGCTTGGTGCGAGAAGACGCCTGGATCAGACATGGGCCTGTGGATCATGTGGCTGCCCATGCCGCTGTGACACCAGTCCACTTTATCTGCCAGCACAGAGACACGGCGTTAGCAGGGCACCCTCCGCGCCCGCCGGCCAGCCTGCAGCTCTCAGCCCCCACCCGCACCACACCTCAGAGCACACGGCATGGATGGAGAACACCAGCAGTGCCACCTGCAGGGCCAGGAGCCCTGAGCCACTGCCAGGAGTTTGGGACAGTTACCTGCAACCAGAGCGCTGCCCCTGCAACTTTCCTCCATTTCAACAGCAAAGCTGGAATTTGGGCTAACTCTCCCTCCTCCAAAAACCTCAATTCCTCGTGCCTTTGGTGCTGTGGAAAGGGTATGTACACTATGAAGACTATTTGCTCTACTTCACTATCATCTTCCATTAATTACTTAATATTCTAAGGGACACAGAAGTATCTGTGCAAACCAAAACCAGAAAATGACAAACTGCAGATATGGGCTCATGTGCTAATTCTGTGGATTCATCAGAGGCACTCTGGTATTCGTGCTACAGTTCAAACCCCAGACATTCAAAAATACAATTTTCAAAACAAAACATAAAAAAAATTATTTGGAGAAGGGGTAGAGAAACATTTCTGAGGCACCCTAATACTCAAGTAGAGAAGAGCCAATCCCATTGTGAACTGAAAATCAAAACGTTGAAGTAATTGACTGGAGCAGAAAGAAAGCAGCATCCCAAAAGCCAAGACAGGCACAAAGGACAACTTTTACAGCCACACAATGCAAATAAATAGTGAATTTATCTGGGAAAAGAGCACCAGTGAAATAAAAAAGGATTTGTATTTGGGAAAAAATTCCACCACAGTCAGTCAATTAAAACCTTCAGCTGTCTGGACTCGGTCAAGAAGCAGAACATATTGCTCTGAACGATGGAGCCGTTCCAATCCTTGCAGGTTTTCCAGAGCTGATTGGATAAAGCCCTGAGCAATTCAGGCAGAACTCATGGCAAACCCCATTTTGTGCAGGAGGCTGACAGGACATCCAGAGGTCCGATCCAACACAGTCTCAATATTCATATCCCCCATCCCAAGCAAAAAAAACCTAAAGAAATTAAAAACGAACGCCCCACAAAAACCCAATCAATATGAAGAAAGTTCATCAGTCACCCAGAAATTGCATCCAAGACTCCTGACAAGTTTGGTAAGAAAAGCTGTAGGATGATTAAATGAAATTGTTAATTTCTGAAACATGAAATTTTATGTGACCCCAGGAGAGCCAAGAGCCTTGCGGCAGTAGAAGGCAAACGTCTGAAAAGAACAAAGGAAATCCAAATGTGGAATATCACTTTATAAAAGCACATCCTCAGCACAAAAAGTTCTACCTTAGCTACAAATTAAATATTAACTTCTACTGTACAAACAACCTCTTTATCAACAAGAAACTCCAGACAGTTCTCTTGTGACACCTTAATTTCCCCTCTTCCTAAATTCAGTGATCCTCACTGTGTTCATTCCTGGAAGGTCTGTTTTTATTTTTCCTGCTCCTACTTGGGAGTACCAAATCTTCATAGGCAGGACATTTCAGAACCCCCGAGGGCTTCAGAAACCTTGTTAAAACAATTAAGTGGACAGGAAGGCTCGAGAAGCCCTTGCTCCAAACCTTTTGGAAAGAACATTTCTGTGTTTTCAGGCACTCATTTCTGCATGATCCTGTGCTGAAGACAAGTTTGGCAAACACAACGCTGTGATCAACTCAAGTGCATCTATGAACAACACCTACCTTGACTGCCACCTATACCTTCGAAGGACCAGATCCCACTGTGTCCCACTGGAGCAGCCAAGTTGCTCCCAATTACAGAAGGAGCAGACGTTCCAGTTTGTCTAATACGTGCAGACCGTTCAGTCCCAATAGGAACAGGAACTTTTCTGTCCTGAGAAACGTTACTGGGTTTTTCTGATCCCAAGGACACTGCTGAAGGGGTGGGAGAGGGTGCTCGTACTCCAGAGGACACGGACTGAGCAGGAGATTCTGCAAGGAGAGCAACAGGAGCACTTAGTGATGGTGGCCAGATCCCACAAACCTATCCTTCAATGTCCAACAGCTGACAAGAGGGAGCTGGTTAATGCCACATTCATCCACCTCAGGATAATTTTCTTTCCAGATCACAGAGATATTCATCAGTGATTTAGCCCCTTACATAAAATGCTTATTATTCCCCAGTAGCTCAGCCACTGGAGGACACACACCACAAAACCTTAACTAAGCATCACTGTCCATCAGCAACAGAGGATTTGAGGATTATATCCTACACCAGAGCTGAAATAAGCCCACATATACTCATGTCTTTGTTGGGTTTGTTTCTTCTTCTTCTTGATTTGTTCCCTGGGTATTTTTTTTTTGGTCACTGTTTTTGCCTATGAACATGTTCCCTATAAATAAGCCAGCACTAACAGCTTATTTGTTTTCTGTCCAAAATACTCCTAACTGCAGGGGGCCAAAGGTAGAGGAAGGTACCAGAACCTGCCCTGAAGATATTCTCCCAGAATTCCTTATGCAGGACAATTTTATTTATACAGCAGCTTCCTGCTGACCAGAACTCACCATTTGATGCTGATGAACATGGAGGCAATAAACTAAGAGGGGAAAAATGCTGTCTGTTAAAATTAGCAGCTGCAGGCGCTCCGCCCAGCGGTGTCCCGGGCGCGTAGATCTGCCCTCCCGACAGGTTCGAGGCAAAGGTCCCCAGGTGTGTAGAAGAAGGTGTTACAGAAGCATAGGGAGAATCCATACTGACAATACCTGCGAGAGAAAACGGGCACAAGTGACTCCCACAAGTCCAACACTCCAGCAAGAGGTCGCTCGTATCATGGAAATAGAAAGGAAAACTTTTATCCTATCTGTCTTAGGGAGTGTGTGTTACGGCTTTCCAAAGGAAACTGGAGCATTAAGCTTCACACTCTGCAAATCTATTTGGTATGTGGCAGTTGTGCTCTACACTTAAATCAAGAATGATTCTTCCTTAACATCAATGCCAAGATAGTCAAAATACAGGAATTACTGCTCCCTTCATGTCCTCTTCAATGAAGAAAGTGAAAAACAAAATCTTAGGGATCTAAGACTTATGCATTTGTGTATATTAGGGACATACAGGGCCCTAATCAAAATGCTGACTAGTATATCAAGATGAAAAAATTCAACACCATCATATTCACAAAATAGGAATGAAAGAGCTGTTCTATCTTTCACTCCATTAACAGATCAGTGGTGCTACAAAATCAGGCAGAGATGGTTCAAACCATGTATGTACTTTTTGGAAGCTACATAACAGATTCTGTGACAACCCCTTGGCCTCCGTTTTGGGCAGAAAGCTCAACAGTACACTAAAAAATGCAGGCAGTCAAGGAAATGACATTTTTTGGATCCAATTTTGAAATTAAGAGAACACACCTCTTGTAAGTTACAAGTTCATAGCAAAACACCACTTTTTTTACCATACTAGCCCTTGGAAAATGCTGCATATTTTTCTGCAGTCTCAGGACAAGGTATCACAAAATGGCACAGCCACTATCCGATAGGGAAGGGAGGAGGAAATGAGAGTGTTTCATTATCTCAGCTATTGGAGAGGAACAGACTGGAATAGCAAAGCCCTATTTTACCAAGCCCATCAGCTGCCAAACAGTTACTAGATTTGACAGGGCACTTAAAATGAACTCAGCTTAAAAAAACACAAGAATAAACTGTACTATTATGGTAGGGACACAAGCCAGAGACTTACCTGAGGGACTTGGAGCTGGCCTCTGTAACGGTGGCCTAAAACCTGGGGCTTTGGAAGTATCAGACTGATGTAATGGATCTGAATTTGGCAAAAATGAGGACTTAGCTGAGAGCATGGATTCTGGTGTTGTCTGAGAGGAAACGACGGACCCACCCCAGAAGGCATGAGCAGACGTGGGGCTGTTCTCAAACAACGTACTAAAGGGCCCAAAAGGCAGAGTAGCACTGAAGTTGTTCCCCATGGGCTTGTTCGCTGGGTGGGCCGAATTCTGAGAAGCACTTTGTGTACTTAAGGTAGAAGGAAGCTGCACTGAAGAAGGAACGCTGTGGGGCCTTTTGATGTGGTTAACGTTGAGGACTGCGACAGAGGAGTTTTGCACAGGAGCTGGATTCTTGGGGACGCTGCCAGTTCCATGGACAGGCGGTCTGATGGCTGGGGTTTCCATCTTGGCTGGGGGCTGAGCAGACCCCATGGCCGGCTGGGACACGGGGTAGGTCATGGGAGCGTTGCTCGCGCCTACCGCCGGAGCGGATGAGCTCGTCGCCGCTAAATTCGGAGGCACAACCATGCGAGGATCTGGTGCAGGAACCTGAGGTTGCTGGAGAGGGGGCCTGGCCTCTGGCAGAGGAGCTCCGGGGGGCTGCTGATGCGCTGGATGCACAGAGGAGCTGCTGGTCCCAGGATTGGGCTGCCTGCTGCTGGTCGAGCCGCCCGCATCCACCGCGGGCGGGCTCCCCACGTCTGGCTCAGACGGAGGCGCACCTTTGTTGGGAGAGGCTGCCGCGCAGTCGGGAGGACTGCTCCTGGAGACGCCCGCCGGCTGCGCAGGAGGAGAGGGAGATGAGGGGGAAGATGCAGGGTAGTGTTCTTTGGCAGTAGGAGTCGGATACGTGGTGTTCGTGGGCGCCGTGCTCGTGTTGCTCGCCGTGGTCGTCACGGTGGTGGTGGTGGCGTTGGACGTCTTCACCACCGTGACGAACAGCTGCCTCCTGACCGAAGGGGAGCTCGGGTTGCCGCTCGCCGAAGATCCAGGCACAGTAGAAGCCACTGAAGTCGTCGTTGCCGTGGGACTCGTGGTCAAAGAACTTGCTGAATTCACCTGAGAACCGCTGCTGTTCTGGCTGTTGTGGCGAGGCACCATGTGAGGTTTCGGCGAGTTCGTAGCTCGGGCGGGGCTCAGCGGCCTGACGGGAAACGGACCCCACGTGGACTGGGCTGGTGGGAAGGTACCTCCGAAGTGCGTCATGGGCAGCCGCGGCGGACGGATCTGCTGGAACGTCTGAGCAGCGAGGAGCGCGTGTGCAAACTGCGGAGGAGGATATGCCAACGGAAGAGAAACTTGGAAACCAGGCCGCACGTTGTTCACGGGGTTCTTAATGCTTTTATGACTGGATGCTGAGGAGATTGCAGGCACGGTGAGCGCGGAGGCGGTCTGAGATGTTGACGAAGCAGCTACAGTGGTCACTTTGATGCCCACGAGAGAACTGTTAGCAGCTGTAGTGGTGGCAGGTGTCGAGGACCCTATTTTGGAATTTACAGTTGAACTTTTCAAACGGTTCTTTGGAATAAGTTCATCTATTTCCTTATCTGGATCCTTAATCAGAGCATTGATCAACTGTGTGGCCTGTCTGGTTGACTCTGTGCCACCCCTACAAAACAAAAGGACAGAAAAAGCGCATCTAAAGCATTTACGCATGTTATAGCCAAAGACCTCCCACACACAACCCAAACCTGTCTGCTATCATCCCAACACAAATCGGAAAGTAACTGTCTATCCAAAAACTGAGCTTGGCACAGTCCTGCTGCAGACAGCTACTCAAGAAGTTCAAGTTGAATGCCCCAAATCCCAAAAACCTCAAATGGATAAACTATTTGCTTCCCTAAATATGTCTTCATGTTTCACCATGTACTAACAAGCCCAAACACAGAACCCCAACATTTATGTTTCACCTTATCTCACAAGCTGTCTTTTGTACCTGCTGGTGGTTGTACTGTATTTCCCCACCCCATTCATCTCCCCTGCTTCCAAGAGATCTTCCAAGGAACAACCAGATCAAGCCTTTAATTTTCCTATGCAGACAAACATTCTACAAGGAGAGAATACCCACAGGACGGACCAATGCAGGATCCTGCTTACCTTATTGTGATGATTCGATCTCCAGTTTTATCCTTCTGTTTGTCAATATCTATATGTGCTCCCGTGCACTCCCGGATCGCGTTGATGTTACATCCTCCTCTGCCAATAACTCTGGAAATCACAGTTGATGGGACAGAAACCTTCTTGGACCTATATAAAAAAGAAACAACATTAAGTAGGAAACACTTCCATGGCAAGAAGCTGTGGGCAGGCTGGTCAAAAGCATACTGTATTTTCTGATTCAACCCATGCAGCAGCAACTTTGTGAGATCTCAAACCCACTAAGAAGGTCATTCAGTAACTCCAAGCAGGGCTACACAAAGGACAGCATCAAAGGGAATTAGGGGAATTATTCTGCTTACCTTCTCACAACTTCCTTCCAACCTTCTTCTCTTTTCTGACCACGTTTAGGACTAGCAATGGTTAGCTTTCCGTTTGGAGAAGAAAGGGGAGAAGGAGCGGATTTTGTGCAAGTAGACAAGGAATTACTTGTCACTTCATTAATAACTTCAGACAACCTGCAAAAGGAATTAAATGCTGTCATTACGTGGGGGAGAAAAAAAGGATGACTTGCATTTTGCATTTACGGTCACAGGAACTTACTTGATGGATGACTTGCCAGGCACTGCTTTCCTCTCATCCTTTGGACAAGTGACGAGCACCGATGGTTGCTTTTTGTTGCTCTGTGTGTTAGTGACAGCTGTGGAGGAATGATTGTCACTTTTGTGGCTGCTGTTGCTATTGCTGCTCTCATCGCTGCAGCTGGAGATCCTCATATTGTCACTGTCACCACTCTCGCTAGTGCTGCTGCTCTTGGATTCCCCATTCACCTTCTCAGGTTGGCTATAGGAAATGGGAATCTGATCATCGAATATAATCTGAACATTATCAGGGGTTACTTTGTTTTTCCTGTTTTTCCTCTTGGAGCTCGTTGTGGTGATGGTGTTATTCCTCTTCCCATGAGAACCTGCTAATGTTGTCCAGGTTGCAGATATACCTATGGTGGTGGTGGTGGTAGCGCTGGGAGGCTCCATTGGGACCTCAGGATCATCTGATAGAAGAGTAAAGAAAAAGCAGGAGTAACTTAGCTGGTCTGAGGAAACTTGAGTATTTTGCCTTCCAAATCACATCTGTCCTATCAAAAAATCTTAGGACTAAATTTTTTACAAAGCTCCAAGAAACCTACAAAACCCTTGACTATGAGACATCCATAAATCTATTACAGATGTCATACCAGCTCATACCGAATTTCATTCTTTTCTTGGAATAATTGCAGTAATCACCTTCAGCTTTTAACTTCTCCTTCTCCTGAGCAGCTTGAAGTTCAAAATTCTCTTTATTTTTTGCTTCTATTTCTTCTAGTTTTCGCCTTTGTTCTTCTTTTTTCTTCCTCCTTTTCTCTTTTCTCTTCTCTCTTTTGGCAGCCAGAGCCAGTCTCCTGCTTTCTTCCCTTAGCTACAAGTCAAGCACATGGAACAGCATTACAAGATGTCCCATGCATTTCAAGAAATCAAATGCTTTTTATTTCCTTGGACTTTTCTGTTTTATTTCTACTACAGTACTATAGTTTTTAGTAAATTAGTTCTTTTTTTAATATTTAGGATACAAAATTTGGTTTAGACCTAAAATCCATATGAATGACTAGAAAATGCCACACTCATTTTTTCTGACAAGTCATATTCAGAAATCCTTCTTTTGGTACGGAGGAAATAGTTACAGTGGCATTTCCTGATCCAGTGTCTCTGAATAATAGCAAAGTTCAAGGGTTACCTGAACAAGATGCTCAGCTCTGGACACTCCAATTATGGTCACTACACACACTCCTATACCCCAATAACTACTTTTACCGACCTTATCATCTTGAAGGAACGTGAAATTGGAATTTTAAGAGAGAAATATTCCCAGCCGCGACTCTTTCCACTTGCCTTCTCCAAGTCCAGTTCCTCTAGCAGAATGCTTGCATTTTTGTTGGCTTCTGCAGCCTGTCTATCTTTGGCTTGAACAATTGACTCCATGCACAGGTGGCACTTCTTCAGCATCTCCTGAAATGACAAAGCACATTAAGAACAAAGTGCCACGTGTTCCCATTTCTTGCTGTTTTTCCTCAAAAATTCCAATGGGACTCATGCTCTGGCTGAAAAATGGTGGCCAATGAGCTGAAGAGAGGTCATATCACTGTCTCTGAAGCTGAGACACAACACTGTTCCTTGCCAAGTGTTTCCTTCCCCCCCATCTTACCTTATCAGTGATGGTTGCTATGTATCTCATGCACTCCGAGTCGGACGGGAACTGGTTCACCTCTTTCACCAGGTAGCGCACCACTTTCACATGACCCTGCAAAACAAATTTCAGGGACAACACTGTCTATCAGACCAGCTGCCTCTGGTTTACTGAGAAACGCTTAAGCCCCAGTACTCCTTGCAAAATATTTTGCAACTCCTCAGCGCATGAAGCTCTCAACACATCTTTTGAGATCTTTCTCACCTTTGGAACTAGTGAGGCACATTTCTGCACATTTCTGACACCAGAGAAGGCAAGGAATTACCTCTTGTCAGGTTGCCCTTACTCCACAAGTACCTGCACAAACTTCTGCCTTTCTTGGGGCAGTTTTCAAATGCCCAACTCTAACAGCTTAACAGCTACAGGATTCTGCAATGTTTGCAGTAATGCAACACCTCAACTACACCCTCTTACTAACAGAAATCATTTGTAGACTAATCAGGCTAAACCACACTTTTTGGACCAAAGTCCTCACCCTCTCTTGCCTAAGGAACCAATCCTATTTCCCCCCCAGTTCTATCACACAGAAACAGACACCAGAACGAGACTCACTGAACTGCCTATAAAGCAAACAGCAATTAGAATTGAACTCTGATATTACACGGGTGACACACGTATCTGTTTCTGAAGATTCAAGGCCAAGTAAAATTAACTGAGATATTATTAAATATGTAGGTTCTGTCAGTATGTTCTACTTCTAACAGCTATGTAGGGATGGGCAAGACAATGCTAGCTAAGAGCCAAGCTAAACTTCACAATCTACCTTTCGGAAGGCTGCCATGAGAGGAGTTATTTTCCTGTTATCAGCTGCATCCACGTCAGCTCCAGCCTGGACCAGTAGTTGGACAACATCAAGATGCCCCCCATTTGCTGCCAGCCACAGTGGAGTATTCCCCTTCTTGTTCCGCACATCGATGTGAGCTCCCCTACAAAACCAAACACATTCCTGCCTTTAGGCAAAAGGAAGCACTCTGACCCCAAGAAGAACTTAATTTGAGTAGCTGAGATAAGTTAAATTATCTGGTAAAAATCAGACACACAGAACCTTTCCCATTTCCTGACCTTTACTGGCTATTTGGAAATATTACTGTATATTAGGAAAATGAAGCCTAAACACAGCCACATTTTCCTTTAAGCTGCTCACTTGCCAACACCATACCTGCTAATGAGGAGCTCACAGAACTTGTAGTGCCCTTTGTCTGCTGCAATGGTTAAAGCTGTGTCTCTGGATGAAGGTACTGGGGGAGCATTGACATCTGCACCTTTGTCCAGCAAGACCCTGCCCACTTCTGCATATCCCCCAGAAGCTGCTTCCATCAAGGGTGTGAGACCAGTCTGGGACAACAAGCAGGAGAAAGAAGCCATCAGTGAGGGGTGAGTGGCTTACCTGAGACACAGTATTTATCTGACTCACAAACATAATGGATTGCTGTCCTCACACTTGTAAGCGCCTCAAGATGATTCAACACTTCTCTGAAGAAACACATTTTTTGATGAGCTTTGCAGCCACCAAAATCTTAGCCCTTAAATGCAGCTATTTTTTTTTTCTATATGGTATCTGGTTTAGTTCAGTTATCTGGACTAGAGAACTCGAGAAGCTGACTTGCACAGAGGCAGGAAAATCAGGTACCAACACAGACACGGTGACAAGCACCATTCTCTGGAGACCCCTCCAGCTGTTTGCTCTTTACCTTGGCTCTGTGTTCCACGTTAGCTTTTCTATCAAGCAGCAGGCTGACCACCTCAGTTCTTCCTTGAAAACAGGCCAGAGTCAGAGCTGTATTCCTGTTGGTCTCAATCTGGGCATTTATATCAGAGCCCATGTCCAGTAACAGCTTGACAGCAGCAGTGTGCCCATTCATGGCTGCCAGCATCAAGGGAGAAATGCCCAATTTGCTACCAGTTCTGAAAGAGAGGCAAGAAAGAGCCAAAACTGATTTTAAGGTCATTTCAGAAATGTGACTATAATAAACTGTTGGAGGCAGGGTACTTACACAAGACTGAAAAATCAGCTGCAAACCAACTTCTACTGAACCTATAAGAGGCTCTCCACAGCAGCATGGTTTGGCAAACTGACGGGCATCTCTTATGAGGTGTGCTTGTAACTTATAGCTTGTGCTTGGCCCTTTCCTTGTACCTGTGCAGCTCACACCTGAGCTGTTTTCTAACTCCCAACAGATGCAAAAGCATGGCATAAATGCACACACAGAGAGAAACTAGGCAGGGAAAACACACACACTTTCCTCACATAACTCACAACCAAGCACATGAGATAAGGGCTGTAAAGGGAACTTGCCTGGAATTGATTTCTGCCCCAGCATTCAGCAGAATCTTGATAATGTTCACGTAGCCACCTGAGGCGGCAAGGCTCAAAGGTGTGTAATCAGACACATTCCTGTGCTCCTTGTTTGCCCCTCGAGCTAGCAGCAACTCCACCACCTGCAGTGTTGCAACAAATAACATCTGGTTTTCTCCCAAGCTTCAAATCTATTCAAGACAAATGCTTTTTAGACCTTAATGTTTTGTTGGAAGATGTCAAAGGTAAGAAAGTTGCTTTTATCAGTTGCTTTGCTATACTCCTTGCCTTGATGACCAGATGAGGCCACACCTGTGATCCCAAAAAAAGCTTCGTTTAAAACAAAAAAAAATCAATCATGGCTGCTTGTGAGTCTGCCAAATTCAACAGCACAGTAAGAAAAAGCAGATCTCCTCAGGATTATTTCAGCTGGTTTTAAAGCCTGCCAGACCCAGAGATTCAGCTTCAATATGGTGCACAAAGTACTCGCACTTTTTTGCCTCTCCTGCAGAGGATTTGATAAGAAACTGAACTGTCTAGCAACTTAAAATCACAGTGTACATTAAGGTGAAAACCCATGGTGTCACTTCCATTGCAATGTTAAATTTGCTTCACTTTCAGGTTTTAAGCATTAAAAAAGTTTAGATCACACCTGCACAATTCTCAATCAGAGTATTTCTCCATGAAATCCTAGAATAAATATAGTGTCAAACCCAAAATTTGGGCAGGAGAGTGTTCCTAACATCATTTCTGCTGCCCAAAGCCCAGATTTTTCCCATTTTTTCCCCAGAAACTATGACAAGGCTCATATATGGAACCCATTTGTGTCTAACTCCTGATTCTCAGCAAGAATAATCATGACAGCATTCATTTCATATCTGCATCTAATTATGCTGGTAAAAGTCCCATAATGGGGAACTAATGACTGCATTCACGAGGATACCTGCACAGCACCAGTCCAGTTATCAAAAGAGAAAAACTGGTCTGTATGAGACACATGGTAATGTGTAAATTGGAAATTGTGAAGGTCTTTGCATCTTTTTTAAACACACAACCCATGTGACTGTATCTTTTCTGGAAGATTCTTGTACTGTACTGACACAATATGTCACTGTTTCTGAAGATTTAAGGTTTACTTTACCTCTTGCCTCCCTCCTGAACAAGCCAAAGACAAGGGAGTGTCCTTGGTTCTCTCAGACTGCGCTTCAATATCAGCTCCATTATCCAGCAGGATTTCTACAACACCCACATGTCCGGCTGTAGCAGCCAAAATAAGCGGAGTAAACCCTGAAACAGAAAACGTGACAGGAGTTAAACCACCACAAGAGCAAGCCTAAAGGTTTCACATGAAGTCTAGGCTTACTGGGGATTTATTTAGTGGGACACACTGGCAAAGCAGACAGGGTTTGTACAGCCATGGTGAGATACCCACCTTTCTTGTCCCTGTGTTCAATGTTAGCTCCTCTCTCCAGCAGGGTTTGAACCAGTTCTTCATGGCCACCAGCACAAGCCAGCGTCAAGGCTGTGTCATGGTTACTCTCAGTCTAAACCAGACATACACACAAGATAAATACTTACTTTATCAAGTACAGCCTCTGTTATAGTGCACATTAGCCAAAACAACTGTACCCATGCCAAAAGAAAAAGCTTCAATAAGCTAAGGGCATGTTTATGGATGCCCCCCTTGACAGCTGTGTGCAAGTTCATGACAGGATTCTACCTCTCAAGGCAGCTCTGCTGGGAGATTTAAGAAGAAATCCTTAAGAAGAATTGGGATTCTTCAAGAACTGAGCTCTCATCTGTGCTCTGCTAACCAGATTAACTTCTTTACCACTGCTTGACTGTGACCTTTAGATGGTATAATGAAGATAAGAATTGTCTTTAATTCTTAGCACTCCAGTTCAGGAGTGCCAAAGACTTCATTAGGGCAGAATCCAAGCCAAGTGCCACAAGCAACTAAGTAGCAAGGGCTGATTTTCCAGAGGTTTCTCTCCTTTTCTCCACAGTGATCTCATGACTTTCCTCTGCTCCATGCTGCTTAATTCTCAGTCATGTTATGTATAGCCCACAGCTGTGCACAGATATATGCCAGTTAGTATGTGTATGCTTTTTGTTGATGGCCAGCTAGCTCCAAGTCAACATGAAGTTACTCTTTTAACAACTATTTTCAATATAGAAAAGCCTTTCACTAAGTGGAAATGTGAGCTTGAATTATCTCCTCTTGCTAAAAAAACCCCACAGCAATTATTAGTTCCAAAACTTTCTGGTCAACAACTTGGAAGCACAACCAAAAACTTTGTGTGCAATACTTTAAGGCTTATTTTTGTCTTAGGATACCAGGCCAGAAAACATTTAATTTCTGTCAGTAGGCAACTCTGCTATTTATCATAATCACACTGACAACAAAGGAATAAGAAATACAAGTGTTTAGTCATTCAGAGACCATCTTTTTGTTTGGTGAGAGCACAGAGGAAAGTGGGTTGCGACTCTCGGGGGCGTTGCGCTGGCTTTCTAAAAGCAGCAAATCCAGTCCCCAGACCCCAATCCATTATACAGCAGAGCTGTCTGCCACCACTGCATTATTCAGGATGCAGGAAAATACAGCTTTGTGCATCTGTGAGTGGCAGGCTCACCTGGGCATCGATGTCTATAGCAGGGTAGATGGGCAGCATGGCTGAAGGAGAAATGATGGGACTCGGAGTCGGCGTCTGAGGTTGGGACACTGAGGTTGCAATGCTGTGGGTAGGAGTGTTTGACATTGCAGATGCTCTTCCACTCACTGCTGTTGGACAGAAGAACCACACTTAGTCAAAGCAAAACATTTCCCAAGTGTAATGTGACAATAAAGGGATAGTGGGATGAACTCCCACCAACAGATGGAACTCCTTAAAAACTCTTGTTTTCCACAAATACATGTATTCCACACATTGAGCCCAACCTTTGATCCTTTAACTGTTAGAATTTGAGCTATGAAAAAGGTTTACTGTATTCAATCAAAGAAAGAGTTAAGTATCAGATTGACATGTTTTTTAAAGCCCACCATAAGATTTCTTTTTTTTCTTTTTTTTTAACCCAAAGATCTTTCCTACAACAAATCAGCCATTATTTGGACCTGGAGCTCCGTACCTTTGGAAGCAGGGCTGAAGAACAAGTCCAACCAATGGGTATCTATGCAATTTTTCTTAAAACAGTTTAAATGTTTTCATGTAGAAGTCTGTCCAGCCTTCACCCCCATCCCCCATAAACATAACAAAAAAAGCAACAGGGCAGGATGCTCACACAGCAGAATTTGCTGAAACCAGAGAAGTGGAAGCTTTGTAACAGTGGGTTGCAGAGAGTTCGGTCAAGGCGTTAGGTAAGCAAAGGTAACACCACTTACAGTGATAACAGTGTATGGACACGACACAGATAGCACCGACTGCCACACTCCCTGAAGTTCATTCTATACATGGGATGTTTAGGAGCACACAGCAAACTTGAGCCTAAAGCAGCTCTTGGGGAAAACAACCATTTTCCTAATTTTCCTCAGAAGAACTCCATGTTTTTTTCCCCTGTCACTTCTCCAGTGTTTCTCTGGTATAACAGCAAAGGAGAAAATGAAGCACCACGCACTTCTGCCCAGTTGACAAAAGCACTTTAAAATTAAACAGTTTCCTAACTGATGCCACAAAACCTGTATCCTAACAGGCCCAGTAGTGTGCTCCCACCTCTACAAGGCAGCTGTATTTTACATCCATAATGAATTTAATTTCTGGATTCCCTACACAAAATCCCAGCAAAGAAGCTAATATTTGGCACCAGGAGAAGCAAAGAACCCTCAACTTCTAACACAAAGTATCATTAACCTTATATTTAAGACTACGTCAGAATTCAGAACTCAAACTCCCTTGATCTAGATCTTTGAGTGTCTTTTGAAAACTTATCTCACAAATCACACTAGGTATAGATTAAAATTACCATACTGAAGATATGCCAAAATATTTTGACATAAGGTCAAAAACTGCATGTGTTTTAAGCAGTTTCTAAGAATTCCTGCTCAAGTCCCAGAAAGGGGAGTGGGAAGCATATCATAGGAGACATTAGTAAATTCTCAGGCTAAAAAAAAAATCGAGTTAGTTAAGAAGGTCTCAGTTCAGGTAACGTGTACTTTTTACAGTTGTAGTGAGGGGAGAAAAAAACAAAAAAAAAACCAACCCCAATCACCCCTTGTCCCAAACACAAAACAAACCCAGAAAAGACAGAGGTGCGCTTCAGCAAGAATTCACAAATTTAGTTCATGTACCTACAGCACAATTCACTGGGACACAATACTCATTTTTACGGGTAATCCCTTTGATTATATTTATTTCAACATCACCTGCGTGGAGTTCAAATTTCTAATGAACATGCCAAGGGTGATGAACAGAATTTCTATGGCATCCAAGTGAAAATATTCAAAGTTTTCAATAACTCAAAAGGTTTTCACAGCAGTCCTGAGCACTGAGAGGAGTAACCAGCTAGCTTGATTCTACACGCTGAACACACTGACAATCAAATATTTATCTCTGCACTCTGCTCCTTGCCCTACTCTAATGGCCTAGTGGCAAAGTGAACTCAAGTCTGTACTTCACCATGGAAACATCACTAGTTCATGCCTGGGATAACCAAGTCTTCTAAGTTAGGTCACTATTGGAATATTTAGTACAGACATGACTTAGTACAGGACCACCTAAACCTTAGTCAAGCTTCTTGGTCGGAAGACATCGCCAAGCATTGTTTGACTACTCCAGTTCCAGTCTTGGACATTTGCTGGGGTATCAGACAATCAGCTTTGTGATTACTGGTATTTGGAACAGCACTGCTCTTTAACTGATTTGCTTCTGGCCACACCTCAACTTTCTCTTAACTTGAATGAAGAGAGGACACCTCAGAGCAGATGCCTCCTCCTCCATGCCCACTGGCCTCACCAGTGCAACATGCCCTTGTAATCCCACTTCTCCTCATGTGGTCATCACATGTCCCACAAGTGCTGTCCTGCTGTGGGCACAGGCCTGGCCTTATTCCTGTCTCCTGTAATGCCAACAGTACACAGACAAAAACTGTTCCACATTACACAGTGAGGCACAATGAGGGACAGAATGAAAAAATACTCTACAAGAAATATATGAGACATCTCAGCTTTTTCCAACTGGTTTCAAGCCAGCTCTACAGGCTTGTTCCACATCAGTTCCTTCTCTGCCCCCAGTTTCTCTGTAGTATCCTCAGTTATTACAAACCATGTTTGTACCACACAGCATTAAAATCACTCTAGAGCACTTGAGATGCAGAACATGCCTCGGACTGTAACTGTGCAAGCTATGTTCTGAATTCCTACCCAAACACTGGGCTGCTGCTGTGCAAGAAAGGCTCCATGGATGAAACCTGAGAACCACTGCACACCTAGAGTCTTGCTGGTTATTAGTTAAGAGTGTGCAAGGCAGCCTAAGGCAGGTCAGCCCAACATGAAACCAGCTCCTGCTCAGGTCCCAAGTGGGATACAACCTGATTTTCCTGGGATGTTGGCACTCTATTATTATTTTTTCAGTATTGAGTCTCTGTGAAAAGCTTACAGCCTGCTTTCCGATGTATTAATTTAAGTAGCTGCATTTCCAACTGACTCAACCCACAAGGTAGCTTCCAGGAATGCATTTTATCAAGTGCTTCAAGATTCCTGAAGTTCTTTGCGAAGCTCTTTGACTGGACATAATCCTTGGAATAATTTCTACTTTGTAAAAAGCTTTCTATTAAAAACAAGGTGGTTTTTCTCTTTAGATCTTTACCACACCACTTAACAGATGCAATGTTTCCATACAAGACTTACATAACTAATCCTAAAAAATATTTCTTTTTACAAGTCTCACAGCAAGTAAAAATCTTGCCCAACATCTGAAGCTCAAGAACGAACCTTTTGCTTGTCCTCAATTCCAGCAGGAACATAAAGGAGCCCAAAGGAAAAAATTAAGTATTATTTACTACTTATCCATTGTTTTCAACTAATTAAGCACAGAGATGCACATTAAAGTTTGCACAGTCAAGGTGAAGCTTTGTTTCTCTAACTGGTGCTGTAAGCACAGCTCTGGACTGCAGCTAAACTGGAGGCACCTCAGAAAGAAGAATTTAGATCCATAAGAATACTCTAGAAGCTTCTCTTAAAGCAGTACACGACATTACTGACCAAATACTTAGTGGCCACTTAAATGTTCTGTGTTACACTGAACCCATTTCAGCTCCACATTAAACTGTGATTTGTGGACTCACTACAGGCTAGCACTGAAGTTCTACACTCAAGCCAGTGTCTGTTCTTGCTTAAAAAAACACCCTATAATCAGGCACTTGACAGAAAATGAATTCAGGCTTCCTTCTAAACTGCATGTGTGCAGGCACTTACTAACAAGTGGGGCTGAGCAGAAACAAAATATTCACTTAAATTCACACTGGAAATACCTGACTGCCCAAAAAGGCACACACAGGCACTCGGCTATGCGGCAGGTGACCTGAAATGGCACCTTCTCAAGATGTGACATGCAGCTAAAACACATGTCCCAAACGTTCTAATTCCAGGTTTCACTTGTATTTAAACGCAACTCAAGTGCATTGCACAGATTCTTTATATGTTACCAAGAACTGCAATCATCCCAGCTTTTAAATTCATGTTGTCCTGTACCCCAGCAGTTCCACTAGAGAAACTGTTACTCTTAGTGCACGATAGATGTAATTCTATTTACTCTGTCATGCATACATTTGTGTTTTTATCCACTTCCTATCTTTACATCTGTGCTTCAATTTTAACAGAAGATTTCCATCAAAAAAGTTTCTGTCACCTTTAATGAAGTTTTGCCTGGACACAAGGCCACTCATCAGGTGTCTCACCTCAAAAGTGGTGTTCCAAATGCTTTACAAAATCACCACCTGGTAGTTTTAATCTGTTACCATACCTTCCACTGACTATGCTACTACTGTGCTACAACTCTTGAAGTACATGCAGGACCAGCTCCAGACTAACACCTTCTTGGAGACCTGCCTTCCACTGGCACACATCCCTCATCCTAACAGCTTTGCAAAGCAGACTTGTTCACATGGACATCACTTGCAAAAATGACAGTGCATTGGCTTAACCAAGAGCATCTTGGTACTTTTTCATCAAGTGACATTTTTTTTAAGAACATGTCCTACCAGTTTGTCTCTATTCAGCTAAGGGGTATTTCAATGACTGCTTGAGCATGGAAAGGGTTCAGATGAAGCACAATGGAGCGAGGTGTAAATTAAAACAACAGTGACAACTTGCATTTAAAACCTGCTTCATTCTCCTATTTTACTGCTTAAGGCCTTAGAGCATTCACGTCACTGGGCAAAGAATTCTCTGAAGTGATGACAAGAATTTGGTAAGGCTAAACATGTTTTCTGCTGGCAGCCATTTTTATGAGGAGACGTTTCAGAAAGCCATAGGATTATCGCCTTTTTTCCCCAAGCAGAAATAAAGGCTTCCAATAAGCAGACTACAGAAGGCCAACAGGAGCAGCTCTTATTCTGAAGATAAACCCACACGTCCCTCAGATTTTATAGGCTAGTTATGGTGCTGCAGTTGCTCAGCCTACAGCCTACTAGCTCTCCACTAGTCCCAAGTACTACCCAGTACCATCATGGTGCTACTCCTGAGCTACAATCAGGCCAAAACAGAACTACCACACAAACTCTAATACACCCCTCCCCAAACTATGACAAATTAAAAATGCCACTCCACCATACCAACCTGACCAAGAGGCACCGTTAGCTCACCCTGCGAACTGAAAAGTTAAAAGCTAGTTTTCCCAACTCCTCAAGACAGGGATCAGAGGACGAGTGGTGCTTGCCATAGAGCTCGTGGGAATACACAAACACACACACACACATATAAAAAGAGTGGACATACCCTCAACTGGTCAAGCAAATATTATACCTGCTCATAACAATGTAAACCCACCTGCCATGATGTCATCCAGCGTGTCATTGAGCGTCTGAGCAGGGCTGGCTACCATTAACCCTTGCTGTGTTTCTGTCAGTATTCCTTGCCCCAGCCCTGCTAGTTGTGCTTGGCCCAGCACTGGCTGTCCAACTATAACACCTTGCAGTTCTGTAAGATTTGCGATGGACCCTGGAGGTAAGGAACCTGCTGCCAGAGGCAAAGCTTGTGGCATGGCCAGAGGCTGAACTGGTGCAAAACCCGTCTGCGCAGCAGCTTGCTGAGGGTCATCTTTGAGCAAGATGGGGTCCACTTGCTGCAATCGTGCATAGTCTCCCTCTGAGAGTTGTTCTCCTACCCCAACGGGAGTCAGTAGTCCCAGATGCTGGCAAGACTGTTGCTGCTGCTGCTGCTGGAGCTGAATTCTTTGCGCTTTTACCTCTAGATATTGCTTTTTTAGCTGCTGCTGAGTTTTCAGCTGTAACTCTCGCTCCACTTTCTGCAGTTCCTCCAAAATCTTTTGTTTCTTCTGAATTTGTTCCTCTCTCGTTTTGTTCAGCTCCTCAATCTTCTCTTTGGTGAGCTGGTCAGCATGTGCCAATTCCAGGGACTGCAGCTGAGCGTTCTTCTCTATGGCTTCTTTTATCCTCTGCTCCAGCTCTGTCAACTTGCCCTGAGCCTCTTCTACAATGCTCTCTGGAGACTGATTGGTGATGTAACCCTGTACATCCTGGTTGTTTGTTGGCAAGTGACTGCTGGACTTTTGTTTAGAAGCAGCTGTGTGAAAAAGAAACCCCCTCAGAAGCAATGGAAGTGCATACGAATGGCATCCTCATTACAGAGCTACTGCTGGGCCGCTGCGTGGCCGGCTACGCACCAGGGCACAGCACCCACAGAAGGTCAGCGTGTCCCGAAGGCCCTCCAAGAACACCTGCCAATTTGTACCCAGCAGTCGGACTGCAATTTAACAGGCCACACTAGTGCACATGCATCCCACAAAGCCCTGTGCTACGGTGACAGGTCTACTCCAGCAATCGTTACGCTTTTGCCAAAGGAAGCGATTGTCTCGAGCCGCTGTTACCGAGTGCTGCTACAAGAAAACTGGGAACAAAAAGCAAGGATATGCTGTCTCTTTACTTGGTGTTTTGCATCTGGTATGGTGTTGGGACATATACATATGCTTACAGCCCTGAAAGCGCAGCCCAAGGGACACAAAAACATCTGTAGGACTGAGACTAGGCTGCCGGTTTTGCAACCGGCCTGGTACACTATAAGAAGTGCTATGCTTTCTAGAACTAGGCATCCTTTTGCTCCAGGTATTCAGGTTTGCACAGGTGACAGAGTGCCAGAACCCAGGACAGTCATTTAGATTTAGCAGGACCTAACAGGGTGTCTTTAGCCACTACATTTTATCCATAGCAGACATGACTTTGCCTGTGTCAAAGCTCAGCTGTCTGTCCAGGCAAGGCAAATGTTTCAGCCTTCCTGCAAGAACAAGCAATGGACTAATCCAACTGGTCTTTTATGCAGAAGTCCCCAGTAACACAGCTGACATGCTCTGCCATACCAGGTGGAGAAGCAACAATCGGTTAATTTTGAAGGGCGAAAGGCAAATCAAAACTCAGGATCTGAGGCAGTGGAGGTGCCCAGTTTCTTCCAGCCATCCTCGCTGTATCTCCAGAACAATACAAGTGTACACACAGGATTAATTTTAGGACATGCACGCCTGTATTTGTTACTGCTGATGCTTGGTAAAAATTGGTTTTTGATGAGAATTCTTAAGTACAGAAAGCATTAAGTGTCAAAATGGCGAGAGCAAAATAGATGCAAATTTAGTCCTAGGAGGACCTGAGCCACATCAGACTAAAGATTTTACTGCACAAGAAATTCCGCCTTCAATCCAATTAGTCAAACCCACTCCCAGACTACTACCTAAGGTAACACAAGTAATCAAATCAACTATGATATGGAGATTAACATGGGTTTTGCAACTTCCATTATCCAATTTCTATAGACTTCTGGGTAACATTTTGCATTAGTTCTGTGTGTCAGACTAGAGATTTTAACATATTTACTTAGGCAGATTTCTTGACGTTTTATGATTACAGGGTTAGATGACTGATACTTGATGGATAAGCAAAGCCTTAAAAAAAAAATTAAAAAAAAAAAATCAAAATTGCAGTTTCCTTGACTGAATCCACAAACATTCTTTATATGAACTACTCTGCTAACAAGTGCAAGCCTCTATCTTCTACCTAGGAAGGATATTTAGAAAATAAGCTCCAGAACTACAACTGACCTTTATTTCTGATGGGAAGGGTTGTGGCGACATTAGCAGGGGGTTTGTCAGGCTCCTGGGGTGGGACGACCATGGGCAGCGCCTGCACTGGTACTCGAGGAGCCTAAAACGTTGGATACTAACAGATTACTTTTCTCATACTCTGTGCTAGTTATAATTCAATAGAAGGTAAACAAAATCTGTGAGAAAAATAGATTTTAATGGTGACTAAGAACATTCAATACGGTTTTTAATATGCTGAGTTCAGTAATTAACACCTGCAGATCACATATCTCCATGTACTTGGCATTTTTAACCTAAAAAATTACTTGCTGAACTACACTCAGCATGGTATAGTGCTGCACAGCAAATACAAGCCACAATGGGCTATAAATTAAATTCTGTAGAGTTTCATTTCAGCACATCTTTGAACTTGCTGTTTTTTTCCACCTTCAGTGTTTTTTTCCAGTAAAACTTAACAGAATAAGTAAGAATGATGAGAGCACTACATCATAACAATCCAAAATCTTCCCCATTTCCATTACAGCTCTAAGTAATTTTCAGTGTGCTCACCTACACTTCATGGTATGGCATGACTGACTCTTCTCTCACCTTTAAACTCTCGAGCAAGCAAGTGCAAGAAGATGACGAGCCCTGAAATCTTACCCTGTTTAGGTCATGGGATGGCGGGGTCAGCTGAGTGGCGTCGGGCGGAGGAGCAGAAAGCAAGTTGTTTGGGTAATCTAGAAGGTAACAAACCACGCTGGTGTGACCGCCTTTGGCTGCCTCGATTAGCATGGTCGATCCATCCTGAGGAGGGAAAGATCACAGAGTTAGAAAAGAGCATCACAAAAACAACACTGCAGCATTTTGGGAAACACAACACACTACCTATATGACTGCCCTCTGCTCTAGTAAATACTCCATCTCCACAAGTTCACATCTAAACCTAAAGACTTGATGAAGCATTTAACAAGAAAAACAGTACTTTAAAAATCTTTCCTCTTCCACAATCATCACTTTACAGCTGGAGGGCAGCCTTTATCCTCAGGATGATCAAGAGACCTGCACTAACTCCAACACATACATGAGCAGAACATCTGCTTGTGCGAACTTCCATTTAAATCATCACAGGCTGGGTGAGTTGTAGAGAACACAAAAGGAGAAAATCCAGCTGGGTATCCTTAGTTTTAGAGGAAAATAAGGCAGCTGAGGGACAAACCTTGAGTCTGTGTGTGGGATCAGCACCATGAGCTAGCAGTAACTCCACCACTGCCAAGTGACCTCCAGCACAGGCCAGCGACAGCACTGTGTGATCGTTGTTCGCTGTGGTCCTGTTCACATTTGCTCCTGCAGAAACACAATGGCAAGCATCAGCTGAAACTGACTTCAACAGGTGCACCTCTGCCAAATCTAACAGAATTAACTACTCTGCAATTTACACAGAGAAAATTCCATCCTGCCAGATGTCCTACTCCATGCAAGGTAAGGACAAGAAAAATTCATGAGAACCAACACAAGAAAGGGAAAACAGAATTCCCGGTTTGTACTGAAACATCAAGCAAGCTATAGTCAAAATCTGGAAACCAATAAGCACTTGTAGCTCAACTGCCAAAGACAGTGCTCCAAAGCTGCACCACAGGGCATGGAGACCCCAGGGATCCCTACTACTGCTGCTTTTATTATGAATTAAAGAATAGATACACTATTTTTACAACTACATGCAGTTCCACTCATCTCAGCAGAAACCACATGTAATCATTACATGCCTAGTTGGAGAATCAATTGCCTATTTGAGCTAGGATATTTAAAACAAATCCAAGGAAATTACACTAGGCTCTGACATGTTCTGAACTTGAAGTATTTCTAAAGTCAGGAAAACCCAAACCATTCCACACTCTTACCTTTGCTAATCAAGAACTGAACAGTGCAAACATGACCTGCCCTGGCAGCTTTCATGAGAGGGGTTCTTCCACCTTCTGACTCATGCTCCTAGAGCAGATAAAGAAAGGCTTCAAAATCCAAAGTAGCATGTGAAAGAAGGCAAGCCAGCCTCCTGGATTTCTGAATGGAACATGGAACATCCTTCTCTAGTGTTTCATAAACTTAGACATAAATATTTAGCTAATGTTGGAACCAAGGGTACCTTGAAGGCAGATGAACCATTCACCACCTGTCTCTGCACAGGTCTGACTCCTGGACAAAAAGCACTCAAGGCACAAGAGGGGGATTTTAGTTAAACAGGACATCTTCTGACATGCTTAACATCACTTTTTTGATAACACACTGGTGTACAAGCCTACTGAAAAGTAAAAATCAGTTTACCTCCATCATCTTAATTCATTTACAGCACACCAAACAGACTGTCAACTAGCTGATGCATAAGGAATAGAACGTATTTGCAGATATAAGGATTAAGCCAGAATCAGCTCAACAATTTGAAGCTGAATACCATGTCAAAAGAATGAAATCCCCTATTTTCCTGTCCAGGCAACCTTGAATGGCCTGGAAATGCTTTAGATTTCAATCACCAGAGGACTGTAACTGACCTCAGCGCTTTAGAGTAATCTAACAGCCCAAAATACATTAAAGAATGTGTCAATTTTCAGCAATGAACACAGAAACAAACAGAAAGAATATTAGGTGTTGATAATTTAATATTCCACTTCAATAATTTAATAATTTAATATTCTACTTTGATTTTTCAAAGAAGGTAAATGACTTACCAGATCTGCACCTGCCTGAAGTAAGACATCTGCTACATCGGTGTGGCCATTTTCACAGGCGTACGTCAGAGCCGTGTCACCTGTTGCTGTTGTTGCGTGCACATTAGCCCCTGAAACAGAAAGCACAAAACCTTGTAAGCTTTATGATGGGCATTACAGAAAACATACAAGCCGCCACAACGTTTACAGGATCAAATGGCAAATGAAAGTTCCCCCTTCCAGTCCAGCATCTATTAAACTGATAACTTGATCGGATACTCTAGAGAAATAAAAACATAAACTGCAAGTTAGCTCCAAACAAGTTCACATCAACTCAATCTTCAAAAGCTAAATTAAGACTCCAACCAGGGACTTTGGGCTTCCAAGACATTCACAGTCAACTTCAAGAAGCTGCTAAAGAATATGTAATGAATATTGGAAAAAGTATTTTTCTCTTCGATTAAGCCTTTACAAAAGTGTTAATAAAATGAGTCCATACCCGCAGCTAATAAATATTTAACCAGCTCCAAATGCCCCTCTTGAGCAGCCTCCATCAAAGGTGTGGAACAGCCGAGTTCTATGTCAGCTCCTGCTTTAATGAGAAAATCGGCCACCTCCAAAAACCCTCCGCAGCAAGCCAGAGTTAAAGCGGTTTCTTGCGTCTCCTCTGTCTGAGCATTGATGTTTGCTCCTTCAAACAATATAAAACACCAGTTACAGAGGGCAAGATCAGCACATAAACCACTTCCATATGCACAAGACATCTTACTACCGAAGAAAACAAAATCCACAGCAGCTTAAGGCTTCTTCCCCAATACATGCCTTGCTGAGCTGCAGCCCACAGCAGTTACCTTGCCCAAGTAACAGTGCCACCATCTCCTCGTGGCCTTCTCGAGCTGCCTCCATCAGTGGCGTGTATCCTTCATCATTGACCTCTTCCAAGTTAGCCCCACGTTCAATCAACAGAGCTGCCAGCTCCACGTGCCCGCCACAGGCTGCCAGAGTCAGCGGAGACTCGAAGGAGTCTGCAGGCATGTTCACCTGAGCGCCACTGTCCAGAAGTAATCTTGCCACTTCCACGTGACCATCCTGGAAATACAGAAAAAAGCAAGATCAGAAGACTGACCAAACGGAAAAACTGCTTTTCTCCAGTTTTGTCACAGACTCAAATTCCCTCTGAAGACACGAAAATCAATGAGTGAGTAAAATGAGTCCAAAAATACAATTAAACTTGCTGAACAGTTTTTCTGAATATTTGCCTAAATATTTGGATAAACATCTGCCATACTGAACAGGCACTTGTAGAAACGCTGAGCATGTTTCACTGAATATGTGCCATGAACCTCACATCAGACCTCTCAGTCGATGGTGTAAGCAACAAGCCAGACAATTTTGCATCAGACTTCAACTTACTTGGGGTGGGGGGGAACTCCAAAATAAAACCCAGAAAGTCAAGAGGGAGTTCGCCACTATTTTAGAAGCTTGTCTCCTCCACAAGAACAATAGTGAGGTTCTTTTGCTTCCTCCCTTTCTTAAGAAGCAGCCGTGCACACTGACCTGGCTTGCCTCATGGCTCCTGCAAAACTATTTCACTGCTAATTTAACAGCAGAGTCAAGACTTAGTTTCTCCTTCCAAGAGAAAAGCCTAAAGGAGACCACTTGTCAGGGGCTCCTTACACATCCCAGGAGCCATCCACCTGAGCAACAGCCATCCCTTGGCAGGATTCTGTCAGGGTTTTCCAGACACCGTGATTGTGCTATCAAACCCCTTCTACTAAAAGGCAGCTCCTAAGTTTGCTTTCTTTCTTGAAAAATACTTCAGCATAGGATCTCCATCATATTTTAAGTATTCCATAAATTCAGGAACTATTTGAAGTGGCTTTTCAGCTCCATGTTTACACTGGAGGCCTGACAGTGACACAACCCATTGCCATTCCATTCTGCTTTGTTCAGACAGAAGCAGAGACTGGCTCAGTCGATGCACTCCAACAACAGCAAAAACTCTCCAAGATGGTTTTCTCCATGAGGAGATGGCCACCATTCCAACTGGGACGAACCACAACCTGACAAACAAAACACCAGAGGGCTGCAGCGAATAAACAGCCACTCATCAGGAACACAAGGCTTTCCCAAGGTTGTCACTGAACGAGGTAAGTACACCTTCATCTCAGATTAATTCCTAAGAGGCAGCAAATCGCATCCACAGCCATCCTTGCCAAGCTGGAAACCACAACTCCAAAAAGCTCTTTTCCAGACAAAATACCAAACTGCATCTGACATTTTTCCGCTTCATTTTCTCAAGTGTTTCATACCTTATTCTGATATCCAGGGAGCAAAGCAGAGTTTCCTCTCGGAAAAATATCTAGGACATTAACTAGGACATATTCACCTTTTACATGAAATGACAGTACTATTTTAGGGAAAAACTCCAAGCCTCCATAAAGAATCTTTCCTCAGGGAAATGCGGAGACAGTGCCTCATCCATCAGGCTCTGGCAAGACAGCTAACTGCTCACCCCTGATCCACGATGAGGATGGCACGATGCAGCACCAAGGCTTGCTTCAAAGCTTCCTATGTGGGCCAAGCAGCCTGGAGGAGAACTGCTGGAGCTCCACCACACAAGGGAACTGGATCCATGTTTTAATAAATCCTGCAATGGGGTGTGGTTGTTGAGCTCTCCTACAAGAGCCAAGAAAAGCCTTCCAACTGGTAATAGATCACAAAAATTCACCTGAGCAATCTTCATGAGAGCACTAGCTGCATTTTAAAGCTGAAGCTCTGTGGGCAGCAGTCCTTTAGCGAGAGGAAATACCAACTAGATCAACCTGCTTTTTGCTCCCACTAGGCAAGTGCCATTGTACAATACCTCATCTGCATTAAATCAATATTAACTTCTGTACAAAAAGTACTCAGGCACAAGTCTTCCTGAACACACAAAGCTGCAGAAAGGTTGAAACCTGCACTGGCTATGCCACAGATAGACAATTCTGTGAGGACACATTCAAGCTCAATGCTGTTCCAGAGAAGGAAGTTTTCTTGTGCCACTGAAGAGCAGTAACTGTTTCTGCAGAAAGAACATGCTGAGATGGGAGTCCTTGCTCTGCTTCATTTCACACTGCAAGGTTTTTAAATACTGCTAAGAGAAAGCTGCTCCTTCTCTCATCAGCAGAGCTGGAGGTACAAGACTCTCAACTATCTGCCAGCTCTGAGCACCAGCATGGAACTGCCTCACTAGGAACAGCTTCCTGCAGAAATAAGGGAGGAGAATTTTTTCCTATTGCTCAGTAATTTTAACAAAAATTAGGTCTTAACATCTCTGAGGGTGTGACGGAATCTTGTTAAAAAGGCAGAAGAGAATGGCAAGGAAAGGAAGGCTTGATCCATAGCTCCACCACAAGAACATCCTGATGGGAAGGCAACTGCAACATCAAACAAGGTCATTTTACCATCAACTCTCAGGACCTGGCTGCAAGGCCATCACCAAGGACATTTAGGTGGCTGCTCTAGTGTGATTCAGGGTGAGACAAAGGACAGCTCAAGTTCTGTTTACCTACGTGACTTTCTCTGCAACAACTTTCAAGAAGTATAATGGTTTCTGTTAATCATTCCCCCTGTGAAACCATTAACTTCCTTCAAAAGACACAACTGGCCGATTTTAGAACCATTACAGTTGTTTCAGGGAAGGCCACTAAACAGGGATTTACTCCTCTACAGCCACGGGTTCAGAGTGTGACATTACACACGGCTAATGCCATGAAAATCCCAACACATGAGGAATCTATTTGGAGAGATAAAAAAGAAATTCAAGAAATTAATTTTCAGTTTAATAATAAAGTTAGCTTCTCATCAAGCAGACAAGAGAATCAAAACATCACAGCTAGATTCCGTACCAGAAGGAAACTAAAAGGAACCACTTTCTCCATCTTCAGCAAGAAGAGACAGCCCACAGACCTCACTGCTCCAGCCTTAGGTCTCTTACCATGCATGCCTCCATGAGAGCAGTGTGCATCTCATCTGTCTTATGCTCCTGGTCTGCCCCAGCTTCCAGCAGAAACCTCACCATTTCCAGATGGCCTACGTGAAGAAAACAGTTAACAGACTGAAACTGCTTGAGAAAGTGCATTTCAACACTCATAGAAATCTAAAGTACATAATGAGAGTTATGGATATCCATGTCACAACATAAAAAGTCTACCCTGGAAAGGTGTGTTTGTATCTCTGCCATCTACACATGCAGCAGCTTATCAGTGTAGCTGGTAATAAAACAAATAAAAGACTAAAACTAACTTCTATACAGGTGTCACACAAGCACCTCTGCTACTAACATAAATTACTCCATGATGGCAGCAAGGGCCTAACAAAACACGGCCTAAGCGACTATAATAGCAGCTGCTGGGCTGTAGGGACATACTTTGCCTCTTAATTAAACATCTTCACGCCTTTCTGGGGTGCTACAAGTTTGCTGCCTAATGCTCTAAGGGAGGAAACAATGGCCTGTTGTCCTCAGCACTGACACCTCAAAGGCAAGGCCCTAAACCTGCCATGATTTGCATGTGCCAAGTCCTGTAACATGAAATATTTTCTGTATTTAAGAAGAGGTACCTGGCATAATACAGCTGTAATACAGAAAGTTTAGCTTACTTATTCTGTAATATAAAACATTAGCTCCTTGTCTCTTCATTTGTTTAACAGAGCATCTTCTAAATAATCATACTTCGACCAAAGGTTTAGATACTCAGACTCTGCACACAGATGATTTTGCATATGGCACAGGTGTGCTGTATCACAGCCAGGACAAGAGCACCACAGTGTCTGCTCACACCCTTTAAATTCCCCTGGTCGTGGGCAGCAAGGCTGAAGGAATCCATGCTCGCCCCCAACACCTCTGCACACTTGTTAGCGTACCTTTGTAGCAAGCCAGCGTCAGCGCGCTCTCCTTGAACTCATTGGAATGCGTATTGATGCCCGCTCCGTTCTCCAGCAGCACCCTGGCCACTTCCACGTGGCCGGCGCTCCCGGCCTCCATCAGCGGCGTGTGACCGTTCTCGTTGTGGTCCTCAATGCTCGCGCCCGACTCCAGCAGCACCTTCACAACATCCACGTAGCCCCCGGCACAAGCGTACGTCAGGGCTGTGTTGCCTTAAGCCAGAGAGAACAAGGGTTGGAAACAGAACCTGATGGCCTTCCTTGACCCAGAACTTCACCTGGTGCTCCAATCCATCCCTTTTACCTGGATACCTGACAGAAGAGGGTTTTTCAGGCTACAGATGAAGAATTACAAGGAGGGGGATATCAGTAATGGCACCAAGCAGCTCAGTGCTGACAGACTGAGGATCTCCTTGTGCCTGCACTGATGCACCTCTCTTCCCATTTCTAACCCAGCCTCTGTCACAAAGCCCCATCTGTTTTCCTGCTAATCAGCAGGAAGAAGAATGAAAGCTCAAAACCAGGAGCAGAACAAACTGCTGCTTCTACATCAAGTCTTAAACACCTGCAAGGGGCTGGCTCCAAAATGTTCCTAGTCTTTACAAGGAGAGAAAAACAACTTCAGTAGAAAAAATACAAAAACACAAATCTGTACATAACAGTCAAAGAATCTGCCTCTGTGAAAGACATCTTGAAAAATATAAGAGGTCAAGGTCTTATTGCCACTGAGAAAACTATTTCACTGAAAAAATATTTAAAAAATAAATAAGGGGTCTTCTTGTATCCCTCTCTCCCCCTCACTCAGGGTCAGCTCTCTATTCAGCAGTCACTGCTGACTACACACCAGCTCTCCACTTCCAGGCTACAAGAACTTAGATTTCCCAGTCTGGTCACTTCAACACAAATGGCTAGCAAGTTACAATGGAAAGAGGGGAACGGGGGAGCCATCTTCTCACGTTTCCTGTCTTCCCCTTGGGCTTCCTGACCTGCCACCAAATAACTTTTCCACATACATGCAAACTTACCAAACTGCGCTTAAAATGTGATAACAAATCCTAGGTACTCAAACACCTTCCAGTTACTAACTGACCTTATCCATCTTTGTATGTCTCCATAATACCTGATCTGCATCCAGCAATATTTCAGAGTTTCACTTAGAAAAGAGAATTTAAATGGCAAAACCACAAGGAAGCATTCTGCCTTGCTGGGCTGAGAGCCACTGCTCCCAAACTAGCATGTCAAGTTCCCTGCATACCACATATCCCAGCTCTGCAGTCATTCCCAGGAGCCTCCTTACCTGTGGATGACTGTGCGTTCACATCAGCACCATGAGCTAGCAGCAGCTTGACAATTTTGACGTGCCCGCCATTGGCAGCAGCCATTAGAGGTGTGATGTCTCCTTTGATTCCCCGGTCCTCCACATTGGCATGCATTGCCAGGAGAACCTGCCAAGAGACAGTGATCAGCAAGCACAGAGTGACAAACCCTGCCTCTGCACTACAAACCCCCACCCTCCCCACAGTGTTGGGGGAGCAACCCTCACAGAAAATAGGCACTGAGAATGCATTAGCAACATTTAGTGCTTGTGTGAGACTCATTTGACAGTCAGCTGCCATTTCTCACTACCTTAACACCCCCTTGCAGGTGCACAAAATGCTAATACATTGCTAATAACATTTCTTTATGTACAACACACATACAGAGTACAAACAGCCAGGAAACCAACCTGTGCAAGCTCATAATATCCTGCTGAGCAGGCCAAACAAAGGAGGCTTTCCCCTTCTTCTGTGTGCTCGTTCACACTCCGGCCTTCAATGAGCAGCTTCCGCACAGCATTCACATCTCCTTCGGAACAAGCCTCGGCCAAGCTGCGGCTAACAAGGGACAAAGCATTCAGAGTGGAAATGGACTGTGCCTCCACTCCAGTGCACCATGAGGACACAGTCAGCAAAAAAGGAAACATGAGCTAAAAACGTGCCAACTGCTAATTAAACAAGTGCCAGTTTTACACTTTAGCTTTCCCAGCTAACTTGGCTGAAAATTAAGTCGCGTTCATATCCACTCCTCCTATTAATTTTTAACAGAAGTTTACTAGAGAAATATATGCAGGATGTCCCAGGACCAGAGGACATGGAAATCACCTGTCAATCTTGAGAAAACTTTATTTGTTCAGCACTGTAACTACTAAATAAACTAAAACAAATCACCCACGTCAGTCTTCTCTTGTAGGAGTTTTAACCACTTCCATTCTCTCCTGTGCTGAAAATACCAGGATCTTGTAACCAGACACAATTTTCATACACAGAGAATCAGTTCTGAAGTATCTCTCTTCACTACATGTTGACCTTTTTTTTTTTTCCATTTCCAAGAATCTCTGTTCCTGTAACAACTTTGGCAACCACCACCATTCTCAAGAAAGAGGTGCAGGGGAGAAGAGGGGATCCAGACAGAACAGAAGCAGACATAACCCATAATTATACTGCTTTTCATGCTGTTCCTACAGCAAGAAATCCTTCTTCAGAGTTATTCTGTATAGAAGGAACAAACGTCCACCTAGCACAACAGCACTTGGCTGTTCCTAATAACACTGTCTCCACTGCACTGAAGCCTTATAGCTTATAGGAGACAGTGGAAACCTCCTTCTTCTTTCCCTCCTGAATACCCCAGTAAGACAAAATTGCACATGTAAAGCACGAAGTCCAATACAAGAGCAGCAATTCCCTGGCTGAGGCTCTATCCAGGGCCCTATGTAACACTGACCGCTACGGAGCTCCAGTCCCTCAAGGCTGCTTCCCTTCCTCAATTAAAAAGGCATCTGAAATTCCCTACAAGATTTTTTCTGATCTGAAATCTTGTTTCATGCTATCACTGAATGACCCATTTGGGGATGTGCAACTGTTTGTAACAGTTCTCAAGGCCCACACTACTCAAGAGCTTAGAAATGTTTCTATAGCTGGTCACGAAAAACTCCTTGGAGTGTCATTCCATAATTCTAAGCAGCATGAATTGCTTCACTACTGCAAGACCTGCCAGTCCACAAATACTTAAGCAGGAGAAGCAAAGGTGATAACCTGGCACCAATTCCACTTGAGTAAGAGTTTCATCATCCCCTAAGCACAAGTGCTAGAACAAGAAAAACTGCTTCTAGAAGTAGCAAAGGGCTGAAAAGCTCCGGGACAAAAGCTGGCTTACTTGTCTGTCTGCCCTGCATTGGCTGTGCTCTCCGCTCTCATCCGGGTCAGCGCAGCGGCAGCTTCATCCAAGGCGCAGCTGACCGAGGAGGTCAGCCTGCGGAGCACCTCGGGGTCTGCAAAGGCTTTCCCATCCGCTGTCGACAGCTTCCCTATTCCTGCCGTTCCAATCCGCAGCCGATGGGGACGCGTGCCAGCAAAGGAGAGAACACACAAGTTAAAAATCAGCCTATGAGATCTGTCAGCAGGAGCATTCCAAGCACAATCAACTACAGCTTCCAAAACTATGTGTTTAACTGCTCACAACGCTCATTAAAAGCTGCATGTGACTGAAACTCTCCAATCCACAGAAGGAATCAGTTTTTAGCTACTGAAACTACTTAATATAAGCAACTATTAAAGCTTTTCATACAGCAACTACTACAAAATAAAACCTATTGAGCAATTTAGGGTTTGACATAATGGCACACGCCAAAGTCAGGCATCCATTTTGACTCAGGCTTTTAGAACGCCAACACTGAAGAAATCTGATTGGAAACATCTTCACGCGAAATTCTGATTTTCCAAACCTTGGAACAGTCTAAAATGAACTTCCTTCTCTTCCATGAGACCCTTGCCAAATCCACCCTGCCTACATTTTGCAGCTGTATCGTGCTCCTATGGATTAGCCTTACGCAAGCGATTCCAGTATGGACTCTTGGAAGGGCTTTGGGGTTAAACCTGTACGGGACACGAGGACTTACCCGCAGCTTCAAGTAAAGCTTCTAATCTTGCCTGGGTTTCGGGATCTACTGTTCTCAGGTCAGCACCATCAGCAGTACTTGACAGCAGCAATTTAGAAGCTGTTTCCAACATAGGGTTTTCGAGATCATCCTGATCCAAGATAAATGATTCCACCTGAAAAGTAACAGATCTGGTTTAAGAACGATATAATGGACCAAAATAGACTTAAAGCACAAAAAACCTACAGCTGCATTATTTAAGTATTTTATTCTCAAGTACTTTGTTGGCTTCAGGTATCTCACTTCGGGTCTGATGTCTCCTAATCTAACATCCAAAGGAAAAAACTATAAGGGCAAGCAACACCTTCCACATAATACCAACACCACTACAAAATGACTTCACATCACAGCATCTTTCTCAAGAAAACATTTTCTTAAACTTGATCTATGGAATCTGTATATCTGCCTTTTTTAGAAAACAGATGCTGAGTTGTCCAAATTCTTCTGCAGACCCTAGTTTTCTGTGCTGTCCATCTGTTTTTGCTGTGAAATAGGCAGAAATTAGGAACACGGTGAGTGTTTTAGAAAAGAAAGCCCTAATATTTTGTGTTATCCTGCCTGCTAGAGGACAACTGGGGCAAGTAGTTCAGAGAAGACACTTCTCTCAGCCTGTGACCTAGTCACTGAAACAATTATCAAATGATAAAGATCAAGTTAAACATCCCCCTAACAAAGCTCAACAGCTTCCAAAATCCCCAGTTTCAAAACCCAAACCCCAATCCAAATCCAAAATCAGAATCAATTTAAATGCCATTCTGTCCAACAGAGAAATCACATGTGTCAGCCCTACAACAATTAAAAACTGCAGTCACCTCTGGATAAAAGCAGCCACTGTCTATATCTGTTCCCACATGGAATATACCTCATTGAAACAGAAAATTTATTTTATTCTTAAACTTCATTTGTGTCTCCGAAGTTTCAAAGCAGTCCCATGAGTATCACAAGTTCAGATTCCTGCAGATAAATTCCCCAAGAATCCATCTATGTGGGCAGATAAACCAGAAGAGCAAGCAGTTCATTCAAGGACTCCTGGAAGGTCCCTCCAGCCTCCCATCCATTCTCTTGTCAGAAGTGGGGAGCTCACACAACTTTTGCCTTCTGCCATCTGTCTCCCACTCAGCACTTCACCCAGCTTCAACCCCAATCCCTTGTTTGCTAAGGAAGGCAGTCTGAGCTCTACTTTTCCATTTCCTTCATTTTATCCCTTCAACACCACTGTTGAGAAACAAAGCCTCTGGTCAGCTCCTGGCAATACACAAACACACATCTCAAGGGCACCTCTAAAGACTCCCTCTGCTCTTCTGCAGCCTCTCTACCCTTCTCCTCCAAATCTGGGAACATCAAGCTGAAAGGGAGGACTTCCAGCTTTAGATCAAAGTGGCTCTGATGCCAAGAGCGGGCCAGTCCAGCAGCACTGCCTGTCGCTCCTCCTCCTCAGCAGTGTTTTCTCCAAGCCACACAGGCTGCTCTCTGCTCTCTCCAGTTTGGCAAACTGGTGAAGGTAACTCCTAGTTTCTTCCCAAGTCCTAAAGAACCCTGCCTTGGCAGGGTCCTCTGCCCACCACTGCTCTCTGCACCTACACTGATATTTTAGGCCTGTTTTGGTTCATCTGAGGACTTGCCATTTGTCTTCTTCCAGAGGACAGCCAGCCTGCTGCGGCAAGACAGAGGAACCACTGCGCTGCTCAGGAGCCAAGCGACAGATTTCACCCCTGGAAAGGCAAACTCCGGAACCGTGGAAGGATTCTTGGCTCACCCAACTCATGCAAAATCCCAACTGCTCAGACTAACTGAAAAAAAATCTCCTACAAGTGAAATAATGAACAGCTGGTCGTGGTTCTTCCTAACACTGAAATATTTGCTAAGAAAAAAGTCAAAATAGGAAAACTGCTCTCCCCCACACAGATCCTCTCCCCAAAATTAGGTCTTTCATGCAGTTTAAGCTTCAAATGGAAAATCTTCCCATCTTCCTTTCAGCTAAGAATATGTGCATGGTGTGAGTAAATAAACAACCCAAGGAGAACAGGGAGAAGCAGAAATCCACCCACAATCAACACAGCACCGAGGCTCCCATGAGGAACCAGGAGAAAATATCCTCACAAGAAAGTTTGGGGAATGTTTATATTATGTGCTGTCACTGAAAACATTTCAGAACAGTATCAAGAAATTATCTTCTTAGAAAAACACTTGACACTATTTTTTAATACTAAATACATAGTAAAAATCTTTTCTATTGCAGTATTTTCTATCTTTTCTTCTAAGGTAGAAGAGACCCACCTTCAGCCTGCAGCTTGCAGAACTTCTCATCTCCTCTGCAGTTTCAAAAATGTTATTTACCTACAGGGTTTCATTACAGTCTCATCTTTTCACAACACCAAGTACCATACAGGGAGAGTGATAAAGACGTGGTGTACCAAAGCAGGGAATAAAACCCTATTATGGTAGATGGGAAAACTGTACTTCTGCTTCTCAGAAAATCCTGCTGTCTGCACAGAAGCTACAAACGAAGACAAAGCATTTCCATGTACCAGGTCAAGTAAACAGACATTTCCTCTAAAGGGATTCAGATGTATTTTATTTCCCTTGACTAAAAAAAAGTGTAGAATAGCATACAAATGCTCCACCTTACATATCAGAAAATTTCATCTGCATGCACCATCAGCATTCCTCCAATCCAACAATACTCTGACATAACCCAGTTGTTCAGGGGTGCAACATAAACCCTATTACAAGATTTCTCCTACCCTCTCATCCTGCAGTAAGAACATAATGTTCTGTCCTGGCCTAGGTTTACTTCGCTCAAAACAAATTTCAGTATATTTGACACATCCACCACCAAAAAGATGCCAGGAGAACAAAACTCCCAGGTTCTGGCTGTCTCGAACAGGACTCGTGTCTGTACGCCCTGAAGAGAGCCCGTAAGATGTCAGTATGTTTGCTCTGACTGACAAACAGCAAATACTGATCGTGCATTTGAACAAATGCCAGGTTAGGACAGGAAGACAAAGCACACCTGAGTTGCCCTAACTGGCGTGGCTCTTGCCACCACATAGTGCTGAATCAAACAGAGACAGAATTCAGTTCTTGATGCTAACTCTGACTTCACCCATCTCTCTCCATCAAGCCACCCGCACACAAAATTGCCATCAGCACAGATCCCACTGTGGATCCCTCCTCATCATCTCACACAGATGTAAACCAAGGTCAAAGAATCAAACAACAACTCTCTAGCATAAAGGACTTGAAGAAAAGCTTTGAGTTATCTACTGATTTCAAATTTGCTGCTTTTAAGGTTGAACACTGATTAGCATCTTCCTAATTTTACACCAGGCCAGGGAGGCAGGGAGAAGGGAAAAATACATCCCACCTACAAACAACTGTCTCTTCACATCGTCTCCTCCTAGGAGGAAGAAATGCAGTACCCAACCCCAAGCAGCGACTCTAGAACCACACAATCAACTAAGGTACCAAGCCAGGCAAAGTACCAAAATGAGTATACAATGCCTAAACTAACATCACAAGCTACAACAGCAACTCTAACCTTACTCCCAGCAGAACCTGCCACCAGCTCCATTACCTGAGAGCTTTAAAATGAGCTGAACTCTTATCAGAATAAAGCCACCTCCTAAACAGTCTAGGAACACAGCAGAAAAGACTTGGTTACCAGCACCCACCACCCTCACCACAAATGCAACAAGCTTCATTTTTTATCCAACTAATCAGAGCATGGCTCTGCTCATTTACAGAGCATCTCTAGCATTTGGTCATCGCTGACTTACAGCTTTCCTAAATGACATCTCTGCTGTAAGGACAACCCAGAACCATTGAGAAAGGGCTGTAAAAAGTAATTTTCTCCTTCCCATCTCAGGTTCCCTGTCTGATTCCAAGAGCCCATTTTGCTGATCCCATTCCCTGCTCCTTCTCCTTCAGGCCATCCTGCATGCACCCAGCATTGACGTGCTCCTGCCTTCCAGCATTTAGCCAGAGCAAGCACTCTGTGTAAACTATAACAGCTAAAATCACGTCTGTAACGTGCCATGTGTGGAGGCAGAGCAGCAGCAGGTGTGGAGCAGCCCAAACAGTACATTTGGGTACTCAGTGTCATCAGCCAGCCCAAACCCTTGCTCAGAAGAACCTGAATGGCACCTTGGGACAAACACCCAGTGACATCTCTCTGGAAGCAAGGCCAGTTCCAAGCTGCCTTTTAGCTATTTGTAAGACAGCAGACAGCAGGCTATCTGTGTCTCTGGATGACAGGCTCAGAGCATTAGTGCAGAGTTCCTGAAGGAGTCCCAAGGAAGCAGTGCACTGCAGTGAAGCGTCTGACTGCCACGCTGCACACAGCAGCTCTGCACGCCTGTGAAATAGCAAGTCAGGCTCATTAACCTAACAGGATTTACTTTTTAAGCTTCAGTGTTTTTAAGCACCGTAATATAAAACAGCAGCATCTCAAACCGGACTTGGATGAACCACACTAGCTCAGACAAGTATTAAAAGACAAAAAAACCCCCACCTCTCCGGAAAAAAATATTTTTGCTTATTTTTGGGGCTGGCTCCTATTTTCCAGTCTTAAAACCCAACAAAGCTTCGTGTCTCAGCTTTTCTAAATGAGGACTTTTGCCTTCTATTAGGCAAGGAACACAACTGAGAATTTGCTGCATTTTTACCTTGACATTTGGGCCTTCGGTGTTTGGACATCCAGAGGGTGCCAAATAGATCCTACCAGAACAAAGCCCTTCCAAAGAACCTTAAGGACAAGGAACCATTAAGCCAGTAGCCATTGCCAGGCAGCAAACTGCACCCCCTAAAATAAACTTGATCTGACACCCCTTTTGGATCATTTCTCTGTCTCTGTGAGGCACTTACTCCCCATGAGCAAGCCCTTTAACAGTTGATTTTTCCCAGCTCCAAAACTTTTGGAGAGCAGCAGAAGGTTTTTAAAGACAACAATTAATTTAGTAAGAATTTTCAAGTCTGTTTGGTGTTGCAAAGCCACCTTCAAACCAAAACCACAACGATGACCAGGTCAGTTAATGACCCTTAGTCCCACTCTGCTGACTTCAGCCCCACTTCCCTGCTTGGTGAGCAAGGAAGTTTCAGATTCTTTCCTTACTC